CATTATCGCATTGGCGTTAACGATGGTAATGACAGTGATGGCTGGCTACGCTGGCGCTCCTCTGCATGCATTTACTACAGCAACACCAAAAGACCGCCGGTTCCTGGTGCTTTTTTTTTTGCTGTAAGCGAGCTTTTCCGTCCAACCGCTGGCTCATACATACGTTCGTTGAATACTTTGCTGTGGCATACATCTCGTATAGCTTGCGGCACTGAATGGAATTTGAAAGTTGATGCGACCAACCAGCTTGATGGCACTTTACGTCAGTAAAGCAGAGCAAAAGCCATCTTTAACGCCATCGCTTTTTCATCGTTCACGTGCGCCAGTACGAGGCTGCCGGGAGAGTGTGTGTACGTTTGGGGAGAGTCAGAGCAAGTGAGCAAGTGAGTGTCGCGTCTGATGCCGATACTGTGCCACGCGCTTTTGCATAATTTGCGCAATTTTGCATAAAGCATGAATGCAAAGTGCACATCAGCCAGGCAGGCAGGCAGTCAGCCAAGCGGCAGCTGCAGGAGGAGCTCGGATCAACACTATCATTTCCACCATTTGCGATTTTTTGTGTCTTCCTTTGCTTCCATTCTCCCGTCATCTCCAAGCAGGAATGGTTACGGTTTAACGCTGCTTGTAGTCGCCGTTGCAGTGCCGTTATGCTGCAGTTGTGGCTGCGTCACATAATGAAGGAGTACTCGCCATTTGTCACATGCACACATATATCCACACCTCTTAATCCTTGCACTTTGGCTCCTTCGCTTGCGGCTAACCACACACACATACACACACACCCCACACACACACAAACCCACCTACTGGTAAACATACATATACACACACCCCTTTCCTTGTGGCTTTGGACGGCTCGACACTTATGGTGCTCGGTCGGTTGGTTGTTTGGTTGATCTATCCCATTGCCTCTATTTATGTGCTAAACAGTTGAGCTGCTGTTGCTGTTGCTGGAAAATACAAATGGTTACATTAGACTAGAGCTTTGGCGTCAGCTCTTATATGTTGAACAGTTGATGAAGGGCCCTACTCGTCGCTCACGGTGCACAATGGTGTAAAAATGACTAAACTTAGTTTATCATCAAGTAAAAAGTTCATAAAAGGGGCAAAGGATGTCCGACGATATGTGAAGAAATCCCATAAAAACAATTAAAACGACTTTCTGGAATCTTATCTCTGATACATGCAAAAAAGATACTCGCGTCATGAGAAAGATGTCAGCTACCGGATTAGATTAGGTTAGGGTCAGAACATCCATCAACCGAAATCGCTTCAGATGTCATTATTATATATAAGATTCGTCAATAGCTACCTCAATGAGCCTCATTAGATTAATTGACTTTACGTCAATTTTACAAAATTGATTATTGGGGTCACAGGTTTTCAGCAAGCCTTCCTGACCTTTTACATTGCGGTTTAAGTCTTTTTTTGTTCCTTTCACGCGAAAGCGACTGACTTATTTTATGGTTTCCTGCTTTGTGGACCCTTTCCTTCTCTGTTTTGAAACCCATAAAGGAGATGTGTAAATCTATTTGATTCAGTAAGTATGCACCGCCATTGGAAAGGACAAATTTTCCGAAAACCCCTGAGGGTTAGGGGTTCAAGAATTTACCCGCGGTAAGGCATGCCTGTCGTAAGAGGCGACTAAAATCCAATAGTTCCCGCGGCAGTCGGATCTTTAAACCGGAACGACCCGGATTTCTATCCGGCCAAGGACTGTCCCTCCCGCAATATTCCCCAAAAAGAACTTTGGGGAATAATTTTACGGTTACGTTAACAACAACAACAAATTTTCCGAAGATTTCGTGTCGTATTGTGTGTCCAAATAATCTTGACTTACGAGTGTATATTACTCGAAAACTATAACTTTATATGACGCATTTGAATGAATGAAATGAGATGTAGTTATGTTTCTGGGTGTGGAGTTACTGCTGCAATGATGTACTCAATTCCTGCTACTGGGTCCTCGTTGTAAACAACCCTCGTGCAACCCATGTGACGTCTAAGGTAAGGATAAAGAGAGGGATCTCCAGTGGAACCATTACGGCATATTCGGTTTGGTTTCGACTTTGTTCTTCAAAGGACAGGCGTTGGTCTTGAGAAAAGCAGCTCTTTATACAAAGATTTTAAATTAAGAAACCATTTCGAACTGCGAGGTTGGGCTCTAATATGTATATAAGAACTTCTAGTTTGATGATGACCACTTCAAAAGAACAAAGTATTATGATTTAAATGCCGCTGCTTGTCGCGCAAGAACAGCGGCCCTATAAGGGTGCGCTAACTAGATATTGAATTCAGCCGCCGAGATCTGTGTGCTCGTAATATGATTGTTTGTGAAACCAGATTGAAGCATCAGAATAACATAATAGTCTTCAGTAAATAAACAAGAAAGCCTCGACGTCAAAAAGCTAAATTCACATCAGATAGTCAAATGGTTTTCTACTTGACTTGCACTCATGCTCTCTCAAAACATTCATCAGCCACTCGATATAAGAGTATTGAAGGACGGCATTCCAAGCTCGCTACTTATAGACGTTAGCAACTCGTGCGGGAATTCCAGCTGGTGGAAGTGAGAATGAGGGAAATCTCAATACGTTGAAATGATCAGTTGAAGAAAACGCTGGTTTTCCTTAAAGTTTCCAATTAGCCTTGATCAACTGAAAGATATTGACTCGGTTATAACCGAGCAAGCACTGCCCACACCAAAGTTAGAATGGTGCTCTTTATTTGGTAATGAGTTAAACATCTGACAGGACATAACAGTTTCAGGCACATAACCAATCCTTAAGCTTATTGTGAAGTGGTTTGTGGTTGGCTGCTCAATTTGATTCTACTTTTCTTATCGAGGACACAACCATAGTCCGTTTTGATATAGTAATATGACGACGTTGTGTGGCATTAGCACAGCAGTTTGTAGCAGGAGCTAGCTTGTCGAGGTGCTTCACAAAAACAAATCACCGATATTTGTACGGTTCCCAAAGTAAGAGCATGAGAGAGCAGTAGGTACGCGCCTAAAGTGGTCGTAGTATTTTCCAATTTTTTTGAGTAGTTAACTGTCACTACAGCAATTAACTTACTACTTCTCTTTTTCTAGTCCAAGGCTACATTTTTACATCCTATCCTAGACGCTGTGACTGTCCTAATCTTCTAAACCGTGATTTTGTAAAAGAAGACCCCATTCTCTGAATTTATTGTTAAAAATTCTGGACATTCCCAACAATGGGACAGCTTCGTTACAATATATACATATAATATGTCGATGAGGTTTACTGCATTCTTAGATAGTCTACACGAGTATGTATATTGTTTAAAAAATACTCTGCCGCCCACACCGCGCACTCTGTAAACGTGAACATCTCTTGTCCGAAATGCGGAAGTTTCAGTAAAGCCACTAGGACATCTTCAATTTAAGTGAAGTGATGGAGATAGCGATCCCGGTAAAATCCAGTTATTCAATGAGCGCCAAATCTTTAAAAACACCCTTGAAAAGAAGACCGTCAGACCATCTTTTCATCGGTTTCAAATCAGCCTTCGACGGCACAGTAAGGAGCTGCCTCTACGCCAATATACCTGAATGGAGTATCCCCGCAAGAAGTATATGGCTGTAAGCTTATTAAGCAAAAGAGATGGCTCTTTCAGGCTCAGGAAGGAGCCTCTGAGCCGTTCGATACCAAATTAGGTTCCCGACTTCTTTTAGCTAATACAGCTGCTGACGTATCGTACATCGATGAGACTGACATTATTGGCCTCAACAACTGCGCCGTGAGTTGTGCTTTCTCCAAACTGGTTAAGAGAGCGCAGCGTATGGGTATGGTAGTGAACGAGGTTAAGAGGAAATATGACTGCTGGCGAACATAACTTTGAAGTCGTAGATAATTTTGTCTATCTAGGAACCAGAACTAACACCAATAATAACGTTAGCCTTGAAATTCAGCGCAGAATCACTCCTGTCAACAGGTCCTACTTTACAATGAGTAGGCAATTGCAAAGTAAAGTCTCTCTCGACGGACAAAGACCAAACGCTTAAAGTCACTAATATGGTGCAGGAGCGTGAACGGTGACAACATTTGATGAGTCGGCGTTAGGAGTTCTTGAGGGAAAGGTTTGAGAGATTTGTAGTGCTGTGCACATTGGGAACAGCAAGTATCCCAGCCGTTAAAACGATGAGCTTTAGGAAATATATAGTTTAGCGAATCAAGAGACAGCGTCTACATTGGTTACATCATGTGGTCCTAATGGATACGAATACTTCGAAAGTTTTCTATGCAGTACCTGCTGTTGGCAACAAAGGAAGAGCAAGACTTTCACTCCATTGGAAAGAACATCGAGATTGGTATTACCAAATGGCGTCAAGCAGCGAAAAGATGGAAGGAATGACATACTGTTGTTAACTCGGCTATATTCGCGTAAGCGATGTCCTCTCTAGTAACAGACAAGAATAAGAAGAAGAGAAAATAATCTTAATGGTAAAGAATAATAGAAGTTTCCGTTGATTTCAACGATTTGCGCCACTGTTTAACAAATTACGCAACAACAAATTTTTCGGCTGCCTTTGGAACACTTAGCACTTTGCTGCGCTGCTAAGAAATATGATATCAGGTATGCGCTTCAAGAGCTAACTAGATTCAAACACATATAACACATACTAGGTATGTATGAATACCCTTATAGCTGATAAATTATTACAGCGTTGATTTATACGCGACTTTTCAGCTACTGTCCGCAGTTAAAGATTAATCTCCTTACCTTGCAGTGACATTTGATTCGAGGAGTGTAGCAAACGTCAAATGGACCTTTCGGTACTCAAGGTCTGCAAATAATATTTACGTTGCTTTATAAAAAAGGTAAAGAAGTTTGTCTTGGAAAAAAATATTAAAAAATGTGCAAACGCAGTGTGAATACTGCTTAATATAATTTAAGGGTTACTTTTGAGCTTATGTTAGGCGATTCAACGCTTGGGACACGCAAACAAGTGTGCCGTTGCTAAGCAACAGCCAAAACACAACAAAGCAGAAATTGCTAGAAAAATATTATGTTATAATTTGGTAAACATTTTCACCGTTTTGAAGTAAAAGAAAATAATTTTGTTGATAGAAATACTTCTTTCCTTTGGAGATATTAAATAAATAATGGTACGTTTATATGAAAATTCAAAACTTCCTTTGAAATTCGTTGTGATTAATATGCTTTTATTTATTAATTTTTCGTACAGATTCTATCTCGTGGAAAAACAGACTCAGCAAAATCGCATCAGGCGGTTAGCGCTACTCAAGTTAAGCGTATACCCAGTTCCTTGGAGGATTTCTTATTAAAGCGCGATTATACTGGAGCGAGAGCTTTTCTTGAGGTAAATAAATTTCAATACAAACTTTTGGTATTCAGTTCGGAGCTCGAAAATATTATGCAAATCGTGCATTATGTTGAAGGTGTTAGCTTTGTACTAGTAGCCTATATTAGGGTGAGGAATACAAAAGGACTTCTGCGGAAGTATCAAGGGAGAGACTGCGTTTGATTTCGTGAAATGTAATGCCAGTGAATTTTGTGTTGCAAAGTTTCGGCAAACTTCGAGGTCTACTTGGCGCTAAAGGATCTTTGCCGTGTAGAAAGTGAATATGATATTGACCTAATCAGCATCAAAAAAGGTGTCATAAGCTATGTTTTTCCAGACTTGATGAGGAAGCACAGCGAATGGGTCTAGTTTAGTTAAGATGTCAAGGGTTCACAGTCATAAATTTCAAGCCTAAAAATCCTTCTTCGGATAGAGTGGTTAATTGAAGAATTAAGTAATTTTAAGTAATTTTTCAACAGAAAAAGATCAAGTTCCACAGATCCCTCCTCGTTACAGAAGCATGGAGGATGATGACATCTACTGATGCAGCGATTGGCTGTATGATATATATAATGGCAAATAAAAAACTTCGGTTACGCTTACTAGAACATGTCCTAGTTTGTATGGTTGAAAACGTTCCAGTTTTAAAAATATTGTACCGGGAAGAGAAAGACATTTACTCTGGATCAAGTGAAGTAAGACACGGTTGGAGAAGATCAAGAAAGATAATCTCTCGGTCATTGAGAAAATGGCTCAAACTGAGTACCTTCCAAAGATATGGTGAAAAATTTAGCTTAACAAAGGCCAGTTCCAAAAGTCTCAGAGCTTCATGATATGTTCTTAAAACGATTCCGAACTAAGTCCCGCGTTGGTATAGAGTTGAGTTGCGCGGCTACTGGTCATTACTAGCTCACATAAGCCAAGAGATCCATTGTGATACTGCTGTGAGGCTCCTATCTTCACTTGCTCAAATGATCGAACCAATTCGGGTCTTAAAATGCAAAAATACTCCTAATTTTTGCAGAGCTCAGCGAGGAAGTGTTTCCCGAGGAATTTATGTGGCGCAGATGTCAAGGCTAGCTTGTGCTAGAAGAAGTGTTCAACTGCAGCAAAATTCATTAAAATGGTAGCCCAATCTTTTCCCGTGAAGTCCTATTACACAATGACCTGATATTATATTATGCGCGTGAAGAACCGGACTAGAAGTATAAGATGTTTCGATTTATTCGCGTCCAACTTTGGTCAGGGCTGTCTGAGACCGCATCTTTGCAAAGATCAGTTTAAACATATTCGCGATGACGCAGTTTTATAATTAAAATGTGTAAAAGTTGAGAGGAATCCCAACTGGGGTTCCATAGAACGAGGAATTTTTTCATAATGGATCCGATGCTCGGCGGAGTTACAGGTTAATCTCATACCCTGCCAAAGCGAGCAACATGAAGGAATTAGGTTGAGGTTGTTGTAACCAATGAATACGCTTCTCAGCTTGAAAGTCTTAAATTTGTTGTTTAAAAGAAAACTACTATCAGCAGCTCCAAGAACAATTCGAAACTCGGCTATGACTCTTTCCGTCTGATTTCTAGACAAAGCGCAGTAATCAGAGGCTTGTTTTTCCGAAAGTGCTCCACTGAATTTCTACACGCCCATGAACTTAAGTCACGCAGCCTTCTTAAAATAAATTTATCTTTAAAACTTTAACCCCATTGGTTGAGAAATCTTCAATTATTCACCTGTTTCAAAGCCCCTTACGAGTTGTTATTTTTTAATACCCTCCACAAGTTCTCTGGTGACGACGATGACGAAGAACATCAATTGGCTAAGGAGCAGTGGACCGCCTTCTGCAGTTTCCATTTGGGTGACTACCAAAAGGCGCTACAAGAATATAAAAGCATACGAGATGCTGAGCCCGCCACTGAAGACATCACACTCAATATCGCCGTTTGCATGTTTTACCTGGGTATGTACGAGGAAGCACATCGTTTGATGGAACAAACACCAAATACATCGCAGAAGCTCCGTTTACTCTTTCACTTGGCGCATAAATTTGGCAACGAGGCACAAGTGACGCAGCTGCAGGATTCGCTACAAGAAGATGTGGAAGATCAGCTGAGTCTCGCCTCTATGCACTATCTACGCGCACACTACCAGGATGCGATTGATATATACAAGCGACTATTGTTGGATAATAAGTGCGTAGAGTGACACTTGGGAGGTGTGGAGAGAGAGCGAATATTTCACTAATTCTTTTTTTTCTTTCAGAGACTATTTAGCCATTAATGTATACTTGGCGCTCTGCTTCTACAAACTGGACTACTATGATATGTCGCAAGAGGTCTTGGACGTCTATTTGGCCAAGCACAAAGATAGTACTATAGCCACCAATCTGAAGGCTTGTAATCGCTTTCGGCTCTTCAACGGACGCGTTGCCGAACAAGAGATACAAAATATTGCCGACAATGGCACATTCGGCGCGGATTTGATACGTCATAATTTGGTTGTGTTTCGCAATGGCGAAGGCGCAATGCAAACATTTCCGACACTGCTAAACATCGTGCCCGAAGCGCGTCTCAATTTGGCTATTTATCATTTGAAGAGCGGCAATGTGCAGGAGGCTCACGCTTTAATCAAAGAACTACAGCCCACCGTGCCGCATGAATACATATTGAAGGGTGTGGTGCATGCGGCACTCGGCCAACAGATCGGTTCGGTGAGTCTGCTTGTGGGTTTTACTGCATTTGACGACTGAACTATAGGTGTTCATTTTTTTTTTTACAGAAAGAGCACATCAAAACCGCTCAACAAAACTTACATTTAGTCGGCAGCTCGGCCACGGAGTGTGATACCATACCTGGACGTCAGAGCATGGCTTCGGCTTTCTTTCTCTACTCACAGTTCGAGGAGGTGTTGGTCTACATGAATTCCATAAGAAGTTATTTCGTGAATGATGACACCTTCAATTATAATTATGCTCAAGCTAAGTGCGCGACTGGTTATTACAAAGAAGCGGAGGAGTTGCTTATGCAAATTATGGATGTGGATATAAAGAATCAGCATGCATACTGTATGATTGTGGCGAAATGTCATATACACGCTGGGCGTCCTGAATTGGTAAGTAAAGGAGGCTAAAAATATGGATTTTAGTCTGCTCAAGTAAGTTTATTTGTTGAATCTTTTTGAGCCGCAGCTTTCATAATTGAGACTACCCGTAGTATTCATGATTTTAGCAATTCGATGTTGTGAATATGAAAAGCAAGAAGAGCGTCTCAAGAAAAGTCTTTTGAATTTGGCGCCTTTGATGACGGAAAATTGCAAAATTAATCTCCCACTCAAAAATGATACTTTAATGTTCCCTTTTTTCGGCAGTGCTGTGTTAAGAAAGGAACTGGGAAGTTCAGTGTTCTAAGTAACCAAGCAATTAGTCTTCAGAGACCCTTTAAATGATAGAACCCAGCACTCCAGCCGACGAATTACTTAATTTGCCAAAGCTAACTTGCAAGAAAAAAAATCTGCATCGCTTATAAATTCTCCTAAGCGATTGTACGAAGAACATAACCTCCTTTGAAAAATAAACAGATATCAGATATTATAGCGAGTCTTGAGTAATCCACTGATAAATATTAAGATTTGTGGGTTAATTAAAGAATTATACACCTCTTGCCAGATCTTTGAAAACTATTTGAGTTCTTCAATAGAATACTTGTAGTTATTACGTCTTCTCTTTCAGGCTTGGAATGTTTTCATTACACGCGATACAAACTCTGAAGCTTTCTTATTGCTCCAACTTATTGCGAATGAATGTTATAAATGCGAGGAATTTTGGGTGGCCGCGAAAGCTTTCGACATGTTGGAAAAGTAAGATTATTTATCCAAAGGATTTTCAAGTTTTATGAATTAAGTTTCAACATTATCTTATCTCCTCCGCAGACTTGATCCAAGCCCTGAGAATTGGGAGGGAAAGCGTGGCGCATGCGCTGGTGTACTTTATGCTTTGGCCACGAAGGCTGATAAAGGATGTCCGCCGAATGGTGTATCCGATGTGATTGGTTTACTACGTGACTCATCGAATCCACAGGCAGAAAATTTGATAAAAGTTATACGCAAACATATAAACAGTTTGAAGTAAATACAACGTTACGGATTTAAAGCAAATAAGAATTTAATAAAAGTGCAGAAATAGAACCAAAAAGAAAGAAGGAGGTTGATTAACTTTCCATATGAATATTGCTTATTAAGTAGATCTAGTCTTCTTTGGTATAGTGTGGATTGTAAGCTAAAAGTTTGGGTATCATTCTTGCGAAGTTATATTTCAAAATGAACTAGTATTTAACTGGTTTGAAGCTGGCTTATTGAAGAGAATTCTTGCATGATGTACCCATGCTATATAAATGGAAACTACTAGCATTACAGACTCTTGTAGGACACAAAGAGATGATCTAGCCACCGGTGTCCAGAGTGTTTCTTTTCGGCAACGGGGATCGGGGAAGGTGCCATTCCTTTGATCGCCAAGTGGCTCAACAATTAATAAACAAGTGAATTTGTATACTTGTGAAAATGGAGAATCCGGAGAAGGTGATTCGGAAACTCCAATCGACGATGATGGAAAAGACGTTCCACTACCTGACCATGAAGAAGTTCGAATAACTATCGCCCGCTTAAAAACAAGAAAGCGGCAGAAGCTGACGGCCTGCCGGCTGAACTGGGCGGTGAAGAGCTGACTAGGTGCATGCATCAGCTACTTTTCAGAATACAGTCGGAATAAAGCATGCCCGATAATTGGAATTTAAATGTGCTCTGCCCAATCCATAAAAACTGGGATCCCACAGTTTGCGCCAATTATCATGGGATAAGCCTCCTTAATATCGCCCATAAGGTCCTGTCGAGCGTATTGTGTTAGACACTAAAGCCCACAGTCAACAAACTTATTGGACCTTATCGGTGTGGCTTTAGACCTTCTAAGTCAACCATTGACCAGATATTCGCCAAGCGCCAAATCTTAGAAAATACCTGTGGAAAGAAGATCGGCACCACCACCTCTATTAGATTTTAAAGCCGCCTTCGACAGCACGGCTGTGTAAACTGACCTTAAGCAGCACTAAAAGCTCCGTCAGGATCGGGAAGGACCTCTGCGAGCCGTTCGATACCAAACGAGGTTGCAGATAGGCTTTTTTAACTTAATGCTGGAGAAAATAATACGAGCTGCAGAGCTGAATAGAGAAGGTTCAATCTTCTACAAGAGTGTACAGCCTCTGGCGTATGCCGATGATATTGACATTATTGGCCTCAACAACCGCGCCATACTGGATAAGGAAGCGAAGGATATGGATATAATAGTGTACGAGGACAAGACGAAATATCTCCTCTCATCACATAAACAGTCATCCCATTCGCGACTTGACTCCCACATTACTGTTGACAGTCAAACATTTAAGTCGTAGATAATTTCGTCTATCTTGGAATCAGAATTAACACCAATAATATCAGCCTTGAAATCTAGAGTAGAATCACTCTTGCCAATAGGTCCTACTTTGGATTGAGTAGACAATTGAAAAGTAAAATCCTCTCTCGGCGAACGAAAACCAAACTCTACAAGTCGCTTATCATACCGGTCCTACTATATGGTGCGGAAGCAACGTCTGATAAGTTGGCGTTAGGAGTTTCAGAGAGAAATGTTTTGCGTAAGATTTATAGTTCTTTATGCGATGGCAACGGCGAATATGGCCGACGATGGAACGATAAACTGTACGAGTTATACGGCGACACTGATGTAGTCCAGCTCCTCTCCCAAGGTCATGTAGTTCGGATGGATAAAGTTTTCGATGCAGTACCCACCGGTAGAAGCCGAAAAAGGGGAAGACCTCCACTCCGTTAGAAACACCAAGTTTAATCGGCATTGTTGTTCAGTCGGCTACAATCGCGTAAACGGTGTCTACGCCAGGAAAGTAAGTACCAGCATTTTAGCTGACAACTAGTATTACCGCGGAATAAATTGTCAGCTCTTGTGATGATCGATCGTCAAACAAGACTTTTCAAGAACTAATTCAGGCAGAATGATTAACGAGCGCTCCGACTGGACTTCGCCAGCTTGTAAGATTGTATAAAACAATCCAAATTATAGAAAATAATCCATTCTACTTGCTGTTACCCGTTCGGAGGCGGTTCAGAATAAATTATGAAGGCATCAAGATGTATACCATACGAGTATATATATATATAATATATATTCCATTCAACTTGTTCCGGTTTCATTTCAGCCGAGATTGCTTCGACTTGTGATAAGACAGGTTTTATTCCTACCTTAATGCAGCAGAAGAAGAATTTGCTTGCAACGCGGTATAGTCTAGCCTGCTCTGTCCAGCAATATTTTGAAGGGACTGGAGAACAACGTCAACAATAAGTAGATAGGGGTTAAAATGGATGTGGAAAAATGAACTAAATAATTAAAAGTTGGCCTACTAACTCCTAAGACTCTGTTTCCATACACTTCTATCCTCCTCCTGTGTTTTTTTTATCGATAAAAATTAGCTGATCAGGACTTTTCTGGTAATTTTGGCTACCACACAGTTTCCATTTCCAGTGTCTAAAGTCAAGAATACAGGTGAGAGTTACTCTGTTCTGTAGAGTTACTCTGTTCTGTAAAGATCCGTGACAGTCTAGCCCAATTTTTGCAAGCTTGCTAAGGAGCGACAAAACTTCCCAATGAATAATCATTCTCCATTGAAAACAGATGGTACAGGGCTTGATGACTTATCGGCTTTCATATTAAAAAAAAAGGTGTTAGGGGAAAGAGAAAATTCGCTATATTATACAATTTTTCTTCGATCAAGGTGAAAAAGCAGCCAAAGCGAATGAAAAAATTAATTTAGTTTATGGACCCGCTACAGTAAACGAACGTGTAGCACAAAAATGGTTTGCTAGGTTCCGTTCCGGTAATTTCGATGTCAAAGATGCACCAGGTTTTGCTGTCTGTTTGATGGGATTGGCCCCTATGGCCAAACGCGCAATTCGGCCCTCAACTGCAAACAACTGGACCGGTTGAAGGTAGCACTCATTCAGATCAACAGAGGCCGAAGTGTGTTTCATCAGAACAACGCCAGGCCACACACGTCTTAGTTGATGCGCCAGAAGCTCCAGGAGCTCGAATGGGAAGTCCTAATGCACCCACCTTATAGTCCTGGCCTGGCTCCAAGTGATTACCATCTTTCCCTATCCATGGCGAATGCGCTTAATGGTGAAAAGTTGGCCTCAAGAGAGGCCTGTGAAAGTTGGCTCTCCGAGTTTTTTGCCAATAGGGACGCAGCCTTCTACGAGAGGGGTATAATGAAGTCAGCATCTCGTTAGCAACGAGTTTACGAACAAAACGGCACATATCGGAAAAGTTATCATATTTTGAAAAAACGAATAAGAAGCCGAATGAACTATTTATTTGTCCTAATATTACAATTTTAGGGCACTCAAATTCAGGTCTAATTTTGAGGGCTGATTAATATAAAAATAATCCCGGGTAGAATTCTTGAAATCGATCTTTGGTGCTTTGTAAGCGCTGAAGCGTCTTATTGTAAGCTTAATCTAAGCTGTTTCTGAACACATGAAGAGGAGATTTGATTTTCGTTTAAAAATACACTTGAGGGGCCTGAAGGGGAGCACAATTGAATTTTTTTTTTTTTTTTGCACACCTATGTAGACAGTCAAAAATATGTCATGCTAATAATATATTTCAATACGGCACGTTTTTCATCCCCCAACAGTCTCATCCTCATCATCTTGACAAACTTGTGTAATAGAATTTTCAGTGCGAATCATGCAATAACTCTAAAAATATGAGCACATGATTGAAGAGTTAACAACAACACACTTAAACACACACACACACACATGCACTCACAAACGTAGCCAGTTTTAGCTTTGACGGTTAGCAGAAAAGCTCCACTTTTGCCACAGTTTTACAATTTTACAATTTTACAATTGGCACATTTGCAATTCAAGAGCGTCAATGTTGTTGCAACAACAACAACGCCAAGCAGAACAACAGCACGTGTAGCAACACATAAACGCCAAAGACAATACGTTGAAAGATGTGTGTGTATATGTGTTATTGCGCGGCGCCCCTAGTAAAGGGTGTTGATGCTTTGTGTCAATCGTTGGGATCGTTATGTGAGTTTGTAACATTATATGGGTGGGTGGGTGTGTATGTGTGTGTGTGTATTTATGGTTGTATGTGTTTGCACGTTGAGGGCTACATTGAATTTGCATATTTGATATGAGTATGCTGTGCGCAAATATTTACAGGGCGTGCGGTGTTCATTACGAGCCACTCACACTCACCAATTACACTGCTGACACATACACACGCATACATAAGCACCCATATTGGCACGAGCTAGTGCACGAATCTATTAACTCTCACTCATTCAAATTCATCATGCAACTATGCCATTGCCACAAGCATCCTTGCTCCGTCACTATCATCCAGGCACCTTTAACGGAACGCGTTCAACGCCGCGGCAAGCTCTCCGCTCGCCTCCGCACCAACTTCGTAAGCGCAGCGCGTGCTTCAGCAAGGCTACGGCACTCAGCTGGCAACGGCTTCTGTAAATGATTTTCCTTTTGCATTTTTCATGTGGCAAATGAATGATTGTGGTTGACGCGTTGGTTGCTCGGAGCTTCACTCGTTGGTTGTATGGTTGCATGCCACTCATTTGCATGCGCATTCACTCATTGTGGCTAACGGGTGATTGTGGTATTTATATTCAATGTCTTTTAATTGCATTGTTGTTATCATTTCATTTGTTTTTGTAATAACTAATTGTCAATGCGCTGTTAAAACGGATCGTTTTGTGTTGTTGTGTTAGAGATTTGCACAAACAAATGAATTGGTGTTACCATATCGTTTGCATTACAATTTATGGCATACATTTGGTGTTTTTAGCAAAACTAACAAAGCGAAAGCAAGGCGCGATGCGAGGGAGAGAGAGAGAGAGGGGGAAAGAGAGAGAGACAGAGAGAGAGTGGCTGAAGGACGAAGGGCGCTTCAACAAAGATGAGTGCTTTTCATTAGGTCACATAGATGCAAATATCTATGGTGTTATGATGAGGTGCTGCCAATTTATTCAGAACACTTTTGGCATTCATCATTTCTTTTGGACTTAACCCATTGTCTTGGTTCGGTTTGCGTGGATGCAAATGG